TGGTGGGAGGCAGTGGCGTTAAACCACGTCTAGAAAGAGGAGGAGGAACACGTGGCTCAGTGAGAAGGCGCGTGGGCAGGTGAGACGGGCTGGGGGGACGAAGTCCTTCCGGGGCAGAGAGCGGCAGCTGCAGGTGACCGTGTGCCAGGCAGGACAAGAAGGGAGACGTAAGGTTGGGAGTGAAGCTTTGGGGTCTTTGAGGTTGAGCTTCATTCTGGGGATCACAGAAGCCCTGCGGGCTCGGGCGGGACCTCCAGGAGCAAAGGTGCATGGTAGGAGGCCCCCAAGATGCTGAGTGGAGAGGCCAGACGGAGCGAGGCCTGAGGTGCAGGCCAGCTGAGGGCCACTGCTGACTTCTGCTTGGGCCATAGGTCTTGGGCCAGCTCAGGGCGTGGCCCTTGAGCGGGGGGCAGCCTGGACAGGTGGACACAGGGTGCACAGGCCTCAGGGACAGATTCTTTGTGAAAAAGAGGGAAAGAGCCTGAGGAGGCCTTGGAGCCCAGCACAGTGGTGGGTGCAGCTGCCGGCTGCCTCCCCACTTCGCTGCTGCCCCAACTCAGAGCAATTGGCTGCCAGCTGCAAGCAGGACTGCCTCTTCCCTTCTGAACAGCAGCCACAGCTCAGGATCTGGTGTCTGCAGGGTAGGCCTCCCCGTCTAGTCCGTTTCTGACGGTGCTGGGGCTGGAGAGCATCGTGCCTGAGGCTGAAATCACACCACCTTCTGCCCGCAGCAGTTACGTGGCTCATGAGTCGGGTGTGTTTGGAGTGTAGGGGGAATCGAACCAGTTTGTGGGTGTCTATGTTCTGCAGGCTAAGGGCCGCACTGGGGGTGCCAGAGGTCGCTGGGTGGAGGTTGAGGCAGTGTGATGGGTCCTCACCCTCCTCTGGAGCCCTCCGTCCCATCTGAGCTCTTACAGGGGCCACACAACCCAAAGTGCTAGGGTCTGAGCAGGAGAGCCAGACGGAGTGTGGAGGTCCCTCTTCTGCAGCTGCTTCAGGAGCAAATTCCACTCATTGAAAGACAGGTTTCAGAGCCACCCAGGTGGAACCAGCACCCTGGAGAGGCGGGTGAGGGAGAGGGGGGTGAGGAACAAGGGGTGAAGGAGGGGGGGGTGAGAGAGAAGGGAAGAGGCTGTGCCCCGGCTCAGGCACTGCCTGCAATGCCTGGTCTCCTGCTGGAGCAGCAGAACTTTGATTAGATTTTTCCCAGTTTCTTTAGCATTAATTTCAAGGGGCCATGTCCTGGTCTGGCCGTCCAAGTTGAGGTGTCCCCACCCAGAGAGGCTGGTGGTCCGCCCTTAACCCGTGTGTGATGGGTCCAACCTCGCTCTGCAGTCTGAACAGCAGCCTCAGGGTGAGCAGGACAAGGTGGGGTCCTTCCCAGGAGGGTTCCAACTTGTTTCCCTTCCAGGTCTTGATTAGAACGTAGTCTCCTGGACGATGGCGATGAGCCGGAAAGTCAAGGAGGGCCTTGGGCAGGAGGCCTTCTAACCTGGTGGCCGCGGGTCTTGCTTGCTTGGCCCTTCCTGCGTTGCAGGCTGACTCTCGGTCCCGAGCTTGAGGTCGCCCAGGGGTGATGGCTGCCCCTCCTCAGGGAGGCCGCTGCAGCTTGGCAGCGGGGCGTACCTCCTCAGGGGAGGGTACAAGTGCCTGCCTGTAGCGACAACCAGAATCCTGGGCAAGCCCCCAAATTGTTAGAAATGAAGCAATTCCCCCAAACCAGGGGTCCTGGCAGAACACCAAGGACCCTTGGGAGCCAGGCAGCAGGCGATCCTGTCCTCCTGCGGCAGGGTGCACGCACAGGGCCGCAGCACGCGGCTTTTCTTTTTTAATGACGCTTGTCAAACTGAAAAATCAGGACATTTTACCAAAAAAATTAACACGTCAACTTTCTTCTGAAAAACTGGAGCCTTGAGCCCCGTCGCTGTGTCCATCCTGCAGCATCCATGAGAGCTGAGGAGCTCTCCCCCCGGGGACCTTCCCCGGGAACTGCCTGGCAGCTGGCCCGCCGGGAGGCCCGGGAGAGCCGGGTCCTCGGTCTGGGTCTGGTCCGGCAGGTGTTTAGACCCCGTGCAAGGCAGGGGCGGGCCGTCTCAGGAGGAGCTGTCACGTGCTCCGCCATTCTGCTCTCAAGTTATAGCTGGCGCATTTGCTTAGCCAGAGAGCATGTGTATTGTAATAAGATGAGGCCAAACATGGTTAAATGATGTCTTCTGCTGGTAGTTCTCAACAGTCCCTCCCCCTCCTCCCTTCCCCACCGCCCCCCTCCCCCCCCAGCACTGAGAGGAACTGAGAGGGACTGGGAGGGACTGAGAGGGACTGGGAGGGACTGAGAGGGATTGAGAGGGAGACATTTCCACTTCACACTCCTTTCCTCCACCTGCTGGCCCAGCTCTGCAGTCAGGCACATGCTGACGGCTTTCTGGAAGCCTCTCCGACCCGAGGAATGGTTTCCAGTGTCTTAGGGTTCTGTGTTGTTTTGCTAATCCTCACCGAGGATATTTTCCCATTGATTTTAGAGAGAGTGGAAGAGAGAGGAAAGACAGAGAGAAACATTGACGTGAGAGAACCACATCTGTTGGTTGCCTCCGGGGCTGGGGAGGAGCCTGCAACCAAGGTACATGCCCTTGACCGGAATCGAATCCGGGACCCTTCGGTCCGCAGGCGACTCTATCCACTGAGCCACACCAGCCAGGGCTCCACTGTCTTCGGTTCTATGCGCCACTTCTTCAGTTGATCTGAAGCACCTCTTTTGTGAGGGTTTTAGAATAAGACACTACAGTAGCTGCACTGCCTCCTGGGTAACAGGGAGGGAGCCTCCAGGCATTGCTTAGTGGATTCTCAATCACCAGGAGGAGCTAAAGAGTTACTTTCTAAGCTGGTGTCACAGATCTCTCTTAGACTTCATCTGCTCTCCAAGGAAGACGGGAGTAAGAAATGATGCACAATAGCATGCACACAAAATCTAGAAAACCCCAAGCCAAGCGGCTTTCAGTTCCCAGCTTCAGCATGAACCAGGTTCAGAGGGTTCCTCTACTGACACTCTGGATCGACTCCAAGCATGTTGTTTACAGTTCTTGAATTTTAAGTTGTCCTGTATAAGGCCATTTACTACCCATTCTACAGTGAATTTGGAATGCTACGGAATTACTCAAAGTGCAGAACAATGTGGAACACGTCTGGGGGGCGGGGGTGCGGATGGGGCACTGGGCTCCAGGAACAGGCTGCCGTCCTAACCCTGAAGTCGTTACTGACTTAGGGATACGGTCTCACTTTAAACTAAGAGATTTTCAAAGCTATCATGGGCATTGTAATCACTTGGGGGGAAAGGAAAATTATTAGTAAAAATGAGAAAAGCGAATATGAGACACCAAATTATGGATTCATTTTCATCAAGGTAGTCAGTCAAGTCTTTGGGATAAATGCCTAATAGAGGGGAACTGACCCAAAAGCCATACACGGATGTGCGTCTTGAACTGCCCAGCAGCAACCTGGAAGGTGGGTTTGGGAAGCGGTGAAGCTCACATTGCCTGCCTGCCAGGCCCTGCTGGGAGACAGGCCGCCGTGAACTGTGGCGATCTGTGTTCTGAACCACAGCACTGCCCTTGGAGGACAGTTTGAAATGTGAGTCTTTCCAAAAAACGCAACTGAAACATGAAAACATTTGGGCGTCACTCTGGGTGCTCATGAGAATGGGGGAGGGGAAAGGAGACAGACTGAGCGCAGCAGCCTTTCTGCCAGCGCGGCTGCGGGTCACGCCGCTGGAGGTTCACTGCTCTTCTCTTCGGCGTTTACTCCAAATGTTTCTTTTCTTTTTAAGTGTATTTTTATCAAGAGGAGGAAGAAGTGGAAAGTCACGGGAGGAATTCAGCCTCGCTCCCCCACAGCCCAAGCAGGGCAGGCAGACCTCTCCGCCTGCACGTTCCCTATTGGGAACGCCTGCCAGGAACGTGGCTCCCCGCACGGGCGGCCGGCCTCCAGCAGTCCCTCTCCCCCCTGGAACGCCACGTGCCGGGGCAGCTCCAGCGAAGACTAAGACCCCGCCGCGAGGTGTCCTTCTCCCATTTCTTTAAGTCTCTTACGGAGCCGGGAATTTGGAGGCGACGGTGACAGCGTTCAATGAGGGCAGAGAGGACACTAACGAACGACCAGCTCCAGGATCAGCAGCAAAGACCCCGCGCGGCGTGCCCGGCCCCGCAGCCTGGGCAGCGGGCGCAGCAGCCGGAGCACCAGCCGGGCCGGGGCTGGGGCCGGGGCCCTCCTTCGCCAGGCCTCTGACGCAGCGCCTCCGAGGCCGGCACCGGCGCCCTAATGTGCAGGGGCGGTGTCTGCGCGTCGCGCTTCTCTCCCCGGGGAGAGGCGCTGGGCCGCGTAATCGCTGCCTACGCAGCCCCGCGGGGCTCGGACCGGCCGCCCGGCCCCGGCCCCCGCCTGCCCCCCGCGAGGGTTCGCAGCTCGCCAGCGCCCCCCACCCCCACCTCCGCCTTGTCTCCCCAGTCGCCCACCTCAAGGAGGTGGGGGTCCTCCCGCGAGCGCGCGGGGAAGGGCGCACGGAGCTCTCGGCCACGGCCGGGGCGCCGCAGCCCGCGGCCTGGTGCTTGGCCGGCAACAGGTAGCCTGGCCGGCGGCGCGCTCGGGGAGACAGAAAGGGCTTCTGCTGGGAGCCGGGGTCGCAGGGGCCATCGAGGGGCCGCGGCGGCCGGGACAGGAAAGGAAGCGGCGGGGCTGGGGGGACGCGGAGGGTTGGGGTCTCGGGCCCCTTCCGGGGCTCGCCCGTTCCCGGCGGCAGAACTGGCGGTTGCGCAACCCGGGAGCGGGGTCCTCCCAGCACTGGGGCGGCGGCGAAGGCCGTGGAGGAGGAGGGGCGCGGGGTGCCGGTGGCGCCGCCCGGAGGGGGAGTGGGAGGGGGCGTGGCCGCCAGAGCCCGCCCCCGCCGGCCGCGGCCATTGGCGGCGGGCGGGGGGCGGGTGCGGGCGCGGCGATTGGGGCCCGGTCGCCCGTCACGGCGGGGCTGGCGGGCGGCGACGTAGCGCGGCGCTCGGAACTGACCTACTAACACACATCTCCCGGCGCGGCCACGGCGCCCGCGGACCCGCGCGCCACCCGCCTCCCGAGCCGCGCCCTCGCCTCCGCCCGGAGCCCGGCCCCAGCCCGAGCCCAAGCGCCGCCGGGCCCGCTCCCGGCCCCCGTTCCTTCTCCCCGCCGCCCTGCTCGCCGGCCCGAGAGCAGGAACACGGTAAGCGCTCCGCCCACTGCCGACCCGGCCCGGCTCCGGGCTCCCCGCCCGCTCCCGGGGCGCGCGGGCGCCGGCAGCCGGGCGGGGACCGGGCTGTGCGCGGGGCTGGCCGGCGGCGGCAAGTGTGCGCGGGGCATTCGTTACATAAACTTTTGCTGCCTCGTCGGGAGAGGGGACTCGCCACCTTAAGGTGGCTGCTTTGATTGCAGCGCCCTCGCGCCGGCACGTAGACCGGGCTGATTCGAGCTCCCCACCCCCATCCCCTCCCCGCCGCTGTTGCATAATGTCTCCTGATTTCGGGAAAACTGATGTTTTGGTAGAGCGAAGCGGAGAAGTAGCCGAGGCTGAGCCATCTCGGGCGGGAAGGGCAACGCTCTCTCCTTTCTCCTGCTTTCTGCGGTGCTGGCGGCGGGGAGGGGGGGCGGGGGTTGGGGGGGCGGCTGAGTAATGGGAAATAGTCTGGATTTTCTTGTTGAGAAAGGGTCGGTGGCGTGAACAGTGACGGCACTCGGAGAATGCCTGCGCCGCGTTTGTTTTTGTCCGGGCGGTGTGAGCACAGACGTTTTCCTCCGCGTTTGTCGTCAGCGTGTGGCACCCGCGCGCGCTTCGGGAGGTTGTGGTTTGTCCTTGCACACATTGCATAATCTGCCCACGGCGAGAGATTGGCGAGGATTACGGCTCATCTGGGACTGTGCGCGTACGTGTGCGACGATCTGGGAATGTTAGCGCAGCGTTGAGTATTAGGTCGTTATTCACATCTATAGTACGTCCCCAATAAAAAGGTTCATTTTAAAACATTCCTACAAAACATGAAAGGAAGACTTCCTCGGGTTGAATTCTGATCTCAGATTTGACAGGGTTCGCTCCTGGTAGTATCTGAGCTATTATTTGTAAATCTGGAATGAGCCCTTGTGACGTTTACCCCCCCCCCCCCCCCGCCTAATTTTAATGCATTCCTTACGATCAGCCCTTTCCTCACCTTATTGTTGCTTTTTCAGACACGACGTGACAGATCACATCAGTTTCCTGGAAATGTTGCATTATGTAACGGCTGAATTTGCTGGCAGTGAGCATAGGAAGAGGGAGCTAATTACATGATTTTATAATCTTGTTACAAAGAAAGTAGGACAATCTCAGACTTTAAATGCCACTGTAACATTTTTTTTTTTTAAGGGATAGATTACACAGGAAAACAGACAACTGGGTAAGCGCTGAGTTTGCTTATGCTGCCCTATGTATGTCTTTCCCCTACATGAAATGTGCATTCTTCTAAATTTAGTCCTATCAGATTTTAACAATTGCGGCCTCCCAGTGCTATTTCTGGTGTTTCTCCAGGGCTGTGTGCAAATCCGTGCTCAAGGCCATTTGCTGTAGTTTTAACTCCACGCCTTCGGAGAGCTTTGATAAGACTGTATTTTTAGGAAGACATTTCCCAGAGCCCGGCGATTTGCTGGGTTCTGACTCTATCTTTTTAGAGGACAGCTCAGGGAAGTGCCGTTCCTGCGAAGGCAGGCAGGGCCAGTGTCAGCCTCGGCTGGACTTTGTAAATAGCAGCAGCGAATGGTCCCCAAGTGCTTATTTCACATCGTATTTGTTCTCCAGATCAGATCAGGTACATGGGAAACACATATAAATTAGTAGGTTGTGTTTTTGCCTGGATAACCTACTTTTGTTTATGTGAGGAGAGATGAACATACTATAATGTACCCAGATTTTATGTTTCTTCCTGAACTCTTAATGTGTAATATATGTGTATGATGGTGTGTATATGTCAGATTTTCTTAACATTTAAATAATTAAAAGTGCCGCGTCGTGGGGTGGTTTTTGGGGGTGTATTATAAAGCTTCACCACTGGAACAAATTATATCACCCCAAATACTAGAAGCTAATATTGCTCGGCCCGGGGTCAGACCCCGACCTACTTTGCGGCTGGGGCTGGCCTGCAGGGGGCCGCATAGCGTCACCTTCCGCTGGCGACCTTCGAGCGCGACCCTCCCTCCTGCGGGCCCGTGGGGTCTGGCCGCGTGGGGGTGGTACCCCGAGCGCCCTGGGCGGCGCTTCTGCTCGGCGGTCCGCGCTCCCGCTCGCGGGGTCCCCGCATTCCTTTGTTCTGGCGCGGGGTCCGGGCGCTGCGAGGCCCCGCTGCGCCGCCCCCTGGGGGGGCGGGCCCGGGTGGGCGCGGCGCAGCGGGCGCGGGGGCACCGCCGGCCGGGAGTGCGGGTGCGCGAGGGGCCCTGGCCGAGGGAGGGCCGGCGGGGGGTGGAGGGACCCGGGCGAGGCCGCGCGGAGGGGGCCGCTCCGGGAGGGCCTGCCGCTTGCCTGCCGCACGGACCTCCGCAGACACCTTTGTTCCCGGAGGCTTCGTTGTGTTTCCGAGTCGAGCGCTCTGGGTTCGCGGAATGTGAAAAAGACCTAAGAAAACCTCCAGGTGCCAACACGCCACAGAGATGGGGGTGAGGGCTCCCCAGCCCCGATGGTGGTTGGAGGGTCCCCGCTGGAGTGGCTAGTTGGGTCGATGTATGTTTTAGCCCATTCGTTCATGCGGCCAGAGGCTGGAGGAGAGGACGGAATTTCCTAAATCCAGTCACGGTGAAACAAAGCCAAAGCCCCACGCGCCTCCTACGTCAGAGGAGCTCTCATCCCGCCGACACGTCGGGGCGGACACGTCGGGGACGGGCTCCGGGGCTGGCGGGGAGGTCGGCGACTCGCGGCTCTGCTGACTCCCAGGCCGCCGGTCAAGTGTGAAGCGCACAGGCCCTGGCAAGAGCGAGGTCCCGAGGCCGGGCTGGAGCTCGCCGGCCCTTCCTTCCATGGCTGGGGGTGAACTGAGGGAGCGAGCTCAGTAGGTGCTTCCTGTGCTGTTATTGACCAGGAACCAGGTTATTTTTCCTTCTTCCCTGCCGAGTCTCTGCGATCACAGCAAGGACTGAAGCTTGTGCTGCGCCTATGTAGTTAGAGATCCTCTAGGAACAATTTTTGTTCTAATCATGATTAACCTTTTTCTCAAAACCCTGCCCTCACGTCCAGTGGTGACTGCACTTGAAGGGGATTCTTGGCAGGATGGCAGGACTTCAGACCCCCAGTCACGGGGCTGGTGTTTGGGGAACTGCCGCAGGATCCGAGGGTGTGCCTGGCGGCAGCAATGGTGTTAAAAGTGCCACGGCTCCGCTCTCCAGTCTCCTGACCTCCCTGGCAGTTGCCTTGGCCTGAGAGTCTCTGCATCTAAAATTCTGTGGCCTGGGTCTGGGAGGGAGGGAGGAGACCAAAAGGTTGAAGCCTAAATCCCTGACACAGGCAGGTTCTCACTGAGAACCAGAGGGGCTAGCAAGGCCTGGACTCACCCTCCTCATGGATGCCTTGGCACCGCCCACTCCTCAGAACCGAGGTCAGAAGCCCACAGCCCCTCAGCACCAGCCTGCATGTGCCCGCACCTTGCTGAGTGTTCTCTGACCAACCCGCTTCCTAGATCAGGAAGTGGAGGCACACAGATGAATTAGCAGCCCGCAAAGGGTGTGGAGAGGCCTGCTGGCAGCACCCCCCCCCCCCCCCCCAGCTCTTCCCCGAGTGTGAGTACAAGCTCATTGTAATTTTTGAAGCAATTTCCTTTTCTGTGTTAAAGGCTTATCTTTGCAAAGTGCAATTATAACATGACTGTGATGCAACAACCTGCAAGTTCAAACCCTTTGTTAGAGCCCTCCCCGGTTGAGCAATGCGCCTGACTCACCAGCTGAGTGGATATTTCGAGCTGACCTTGCCCGGTCCGGGAGCCAGTTCCCAGACGTGACTGATTGCGCACGCAGTGGAAAAGGTGCGGTCATGTTGCCTGGCCTTTATTTTTGCCCGACTAAAATCACACATACTTCACTATTTCCATTGTCATCCAGATGGCATCGGTGCTGTTAAAAGTTGTTTATTTTTAATTTGTATTGAGGAATGAGAGCACACTTGGGATTCAGTTCAACATGTGACAGAAACAATGTAATTGAAGTTTCCTTTAATATTCTTCTCTTGTTTTTGTAAGGTAGACCTGTGTTTCGTAGGGTTAACACATTGTTTGATATCCTGTTATTTTTCTAAATTATACTTGAGTTGATTTTTATCCAAATCGGACTCATACGAGAATGTCGAAAGATGTTGACCTTTGATCACAGACATTACATGAGAGATTTTCAGTTTCAAAATGAATTTATATCACCACCACTCCCTATTATCGCTAAGATTTCCCTGCAAATAACTTTCCTGTAGCATAAAAAGAAAATGCTGTTCTCATATGGCCTGAATCAGAGCGCATGAGCTTGTTTTATGATAAGAAAGTTTAGTAAGGATTTGCTAGAAGCCTTTCGTAATGATTTGTGCAGTTTCATTGGAATCAGAACATATATAAGCCTTTTTAGTTATCAGAACATGGTGTCTTTTATTAACTAACTTTCCAGAGACCTTAAACTGCAACTAAGCAGCCTCCCAATAAACACTCAAAATAAACATTTATAAAAAACCTGCCCTGCTCCTAAGGCACATAGTAAAGCAAATGACATTTGTAGTCATCTGCAAACTGAGAAAGAAAGTGAAATTCGCCTGGCCCGTGTGGCTCAGTGGTTGAGTATGACCTATGAACCAGGAGCTCACTGGTTTGTTCCCATCAGGCACATGCCCAGGTTGTGGGTTCGATCCCCAGGACGGGGCATGCAGGAGTCAGCCAGTAGGTGATTCTCTCATCATTGATGTTTCTCTCTCTCTCTCTCTTCCTCTCTCTCTCTCACACTCTCTCTTCCTCTCTCTGAAATTAATAAAAACATTTAAAAAAAGAAAATGAAATTTAAAAGAAGCAAACAGTCAAACTGAGGAGAACTGGAATGCTTCTTCAATACAATCACAAACATGCCAGAACTTTCCCTCCCATCGCCCTCCCACCCACCCTTTTGCCCACACCAGTTTTGCCCTCATGACTTGCTGTGTATTTACCCCGCAAACTGTCCTGTAACTGGATTACCTTGTGATTG